CAGCCCTCTCTCTCTCTCTCTCTCTCTCTCTCTCTCTCTCTCTCTCTCTCCCTCCCCCTCTGCTACTCTCCATCTCTTTTGCCTTTAGCAGTTTCACCACATGTAAAATGGGAGAGCTAGCCAGAAGGTGTTTCTAGGGCTTTAGCCCTTTCAGCCTTTGACAACCATGGCTGTGCGAATGCGGAGCTGTGACCTTGGCAACGGCTCTTATCCCGCTCTATTTTGAACCCACAGGAGGAGGGGGTGCACCTATGGACTCGCTTAATGTGTGTTTGCACCTCACTCGCACTTATAATATATAATATAATATAATTCTAAGTATAAAGGGGACAGTAAAAGAGGGATGAGATCATGGACTAAGCAGAACCTTTTTAACAGGTTTCTTCCATTAAATGTGAAGCCTGTCATGCATGTCTGCAGATCAGACTGGGGAATACAGGTAGATTTGAAATGCACCTGTGCAACTCCATTGGGCCACATGCAAACAACAGATCTTTGGTATGAATTTTTGTGTGAATGTTGAGAAACATGGAGTTTCTCTCTTAACTACCGGGTCCGGAATAAAAAATCATACAGAGCAGACAGTGTCTCTCTGTTTCCCCCGGTAGAATTGAGTTGCTCTGGCATCCACAGTCAAACTCTCCCGCTTTCTCTCCCTCACTCTATTGACTCTGTGGATAATCTTGACTCCCCAGAAAAATCCTTAAGCAGCTGGCCACAAACCTTGTGCTTGAGTGCACATGCATACAATATCGTCCTCCAGCCCCGGGGCTGTTTTTTCCCCCTCCTTCTTCTTCTTTTTCTTTTTCTTCCTCAGTTCTGTGAGATCCTGAGCCAACATGTCTGTGAAAAAAAAGGATTTGTTGGTAGGGACTGGCAGCGATTGCCAAAATCAACACCGCTCCTCTCCTTGGGGAGACCTTCAGCAAATTGGACCCTAGCTGGGTTTGTGCCTCTCGGACATGCGTGAGGCGGCCGGCTTCCAGCGCCTGGGCCCCACGGTGTAACCAGAGAGGCTTCTGTCCATTTTTGTTTAAAAAAAAAAAGCAGCCCACTAAATACAGTGCAAAGCAAATTGTACATAGTTCAAATGGATTGATTTCCTGTGTAAACAGGTAGGCCAATAGAGAGTTAGTTTTGATTTGCAACCAGCTAGAGCTCCATTAGTGGTTTCCTTCACTCTATCTCACAGGAACCTCTGTGAGCGCTAAAATAACAATCTACAGTATTGATTCCTATAGCCATAGCACTGGCAGGCAATCCAATGAAGCTTTGGATTGGAATTGAAACACAAAGTAGTCACAAAACACATAGCTAGGCAGGGTACACTGTCAGTTTTCATTTGGTCTTCCACGAGATGGATACTGAGATATCAGAGAAGGTGGCAAACAAGCAGGTTCAATCTTGTATAGCTTCAGCACATCCTTTGTATCATTACACCTCCTCACATCAAACCAGACCGGACAGCTGCAGATGACACCTTGTTTGAAGAGTTTGACGTTTGATCGAGGATGTGTTTGATGCAGGAGGAATAAAAGTAACACCTTTTCAAACTGGCATGCTGCTGTTTGAAGTGTCGGGGCAGCGCGGGGAAGCCCAGGTAGCTTCTGATCAATTGCAATTGAGTTTACTGGGAAATTGAATCTGAAATATTAGCCTACTAGCAAAAATTCCAGGCATAAAATAAACATGGTAATATGACACAACTGGTGCATGATGCGTTTTTATTATTTGACAGTAGCTTGTGCCTGCATTGTTTTATAAAAATTGTGACCTATTTCAAAAGCCTTAATACATTTTATCAGCTTAAGCTGAATAACTGTAGTTAGCATTAGCACTTTTTGTATCTTAAAATTACACTTTTCATCAGTGATATAACATAAAGAAGGTGGCTAAAGCTACAATACGTGTTGTTTCGCTAACACTTTTATCCAAAGAAACTTACATTGCATTTTTAACCCATGATTTTTTTGCCCAGTAAATTGCTCAACACTTAGCAGAGCCAGGGTTCAAACCACCAGCTCCACTCCTTGCACCACCCTACACATCCTCGGTAAGAAATTCAGCATCTTCACTAACAAAGACCGAGATCGGAGTTAACATTGTCATGATATCACACAGTGGAGAAAATATTACACAGTAAATATGCATTTCTCCAAAAACTATTTGGTTTATACTCCTTGGCTTTGGAGGTAACACTAGTGTAGACCTAGCCTAAGACACTAATGATTGAGACTCCAGTTTAATATATTCCTTAAATATAAGGTACAAAAAGTTTGCTTATTCAACAAAACAAGTTGGAGGAAATAGAGGCTTAACCGTTCTTTTTTCCAGTCCCACTGGAGCAGAGGGCAGAAAGATGATATCAACTGAACACATCCTGGTTGACATCAACGGTGAGCAGAGAGAAATACTCTATGTTGTACCGAAAGTGCAAAATAGGTGGATTCAACTGCTTTTCTCTTTCTGCTGCATCGCATGTGCTATATGAACAGATGTCATGTCGGTTAGGTCCCTGTAATATTACATACAGGCCGTGTCTCAGCATGTCAGGACTGCTCTGCTTCCCACAGGATGTGCTCACTTCGGTCTACTAAAGAGGGACAAAAAGAAAACTAAAACATTTTAAAAAACTGACTTCCTGAACTAAATACGTTTACCATGTATCTATCTTTTGAACAACTTACATGTTTTTCTTGTTTGAATTCTTCAATTAAAATACAAAATTAATGGATAGTTTTTGTTGTTTTATAATTCTCAGAATATATTTGATTTAACAGACCTGCCTAGTTCCTTCAACTAAATGACTATTGAAATAGGGCAGGCCTACAATGCATTCTTCCAGGTGTACAGAGTTGAAGAAATTACCTGATGAGGGAAATTGATCCAGCTGTATCCAACTTGAGTGTGGAAGCTTCTCTCTTTGGCTGCTGTTTACTTTGACTGCAATTATCATTCACTTGAAACGCTGTACATTTGGAAGTAATGCAACGGATGAAGAGGATGTTTCATCTTTTGAAGAACTATGCAGCAAACACCTCAGCAGGGAGAGACCGGGAATCATCAAGCTTTGTAAAGTGAGGACCACTGCAACTGAGGATGTCACGCCCTTTTTTGTAGAGGTGGAGCAGGGGGGCTTGAGGCTAAGGAACGACTATCGTAATTTTTCTTTGTGAAAGTCAATATGGTAGTCAAAGGAGGGTTGTGCCGATAGGCGAACCACGGATTGAAAGGAGCGATGCAGATTTTGTCCTGGTCATTTAACAAGATCATGGAGGGGACCTGGGAGAATGCTCATCTGGTGTTTTCTGGTTCTGGAAAAGGCGTATGACCGGGTCCCCTCCAAGAGGAAGTTTGTGCTCCCCTGCTGGAACTGTTGCCCCTTCAATAAGAAGTTGAAGATAAGATGAATACAAATATGTTCTATTTTGAGGTTCATCAACTTCAGTTACTTCCTTGTCGCCTATATAAACTAAAATGTCATAACTTTATGCTGTCTGAAAATAAAGCACTTAAGGCTCTTTGGTGTAATAGTATTACATTTTTTGTAAGTTTTTGATAGATTTAATGTCAACACGTTGGGTTGTCAATATTTATTTCTATTTAGAAATAGTTTACTAAGCCTGTATGGAGTTGTCCATACAATGCATTATTGGTTTGATGCAGAGTAATGTTAGCTTCCTGCTGGTAGCGGAAATTTGATCTGGATGGAGAGGGGAATGCTGGCCGTGTCGGACTGGAAGCTGCTTATCTCCCGTCCCGAAGCTTCCCGACGCTACGAGAGGAAGGCACGCAGGCTCCAGGACTCAGGAATTTCAGTCTTTCTCCTTGTGTAAGACATTCCACTGTTTGGAGACTTAAGTGAGATTTAACTGTAGGGTTTATCTGATGATTATAAGAGCAGGATCTTTTCCATAATACACCATAATATGGATGATTTCAAACCACGGGCACCTGTTCTCCATTGAACACATTATGTTTTGAGGCAGATTTTTTCCATGTGGTGTCTCTCCTCTCTCCTGAGTGCTTCAAAGAGCAGGATTCCACAACCCCCTGGGGCTCAGTGGTTGAAAGCTCAGAAGGACCAAGTGCCAAAGTCTTATAAAGAATGCAGCAGAGAATACATACATTATTCAAATTGCATTCAAATGCTGTTGGTTTGCTGACACAAATATGGACCAAAATAAGTTACAGTATATAAGGATTTCGCAGGTAATGGCAATCAAGTCGCCACATTAAACCGTATATTTAATTCATATCGTCTCCCTCCAGAAATCGGAGGGACTGATCTGGCCGCAGCTTGGCGTCTTCTCTTTGACTAAAGATGGCATAACACACTTCTGACAAGCTCACCGTGTCACGGCTAGAGAGAGAAATCCACCCTCCTCCTCTTTAAAGGTTTTCATCTCAATAGATTTGGTGTGACCGCTTCACACACACGTGCCACTTCAAATATTCCAGAAATGTTGGTGTGGAAAACTCACGCCGTTTCTGCCCTCCAATGGGAGTCTTCCAGATGTCAGAGCATCAAGCGATTAGCATGGCCTCAACATTAAGAGGAGGGGAAAACTCAGATACAAACATATTAATAAAACCCACTCCCCAAAGGCCTTGAGCCACCCTACTGCTACTGCAATCCTCTCTTTGCATGGCTGTAAAAATCGGTTTCCTTTGCCTCTCTGCCATCACAGTGACTGTCTCTACATACTCATCCCATATCAACATTCTTCTCCGGCTCGACGAACTCCCACAGCACCACAGGCCACATACTCGAGCGGCGGCTTGGTGACACGCCAGAAAAAGAAGAAGAGAAAAACAACACCCTTTGGCAAAATAGTATAAGTAGAGGAATATCTTTACTGTTTATCTAATGAGAGAGAGAAATGCCAAAGCACTCCGATGTTTTCTCCAGTCAAAGTAAATAACATACCTCACTTATCCCCCGCTTTGAAATTTCTGCATAGTTATTTCAGAAATTTGCTTGCCCAGGTATCATTTACCTTCGTTTCCACGGTCGTCAAGGGGGTTGGAGGAGCTGCAGCAGCGCAAAATTAATTTCTCATCAGATTTAAAGACTTTTATGGCAGACTATCCTCGGTCCTTGCAAGACTTTCCCCACCGCTCGGCTCCTCTACATCCCAGCAGGTTCCGAGGATAAATTTACGGCTGCCGCCAAAGCCTCGGACGGGCCTTACAGGGCGAGCAACACTTCTCCAGTCTCCCTTCAGATATCAGTCCCAGAGGACTATGAGACTCATTGGCAGTCCCTGGAGCAAGTGGTGCCCCAGTGAGCTGGCATAATCGGACTCCGAGCTTAGATGCCACGCATGCCACTACTCACTATGTAGCCCGCATCTCGCCTTTTCTTTCTCCCACAGCCGTGTCATCCTCAAATGTTGCCACCCTCGTGCTTATTCTGCTCGGTTTGTCTGCTCCTATGCCACCCGTATCAAGATCTCAGTCCACCATTCCTCCCAGTGCATTCACATTCTGCCTCGCAGTTGTTCAGTCACAAGTTCTATCACTTCGTCTACAATCTGCCTCAGATATGCAGGTTTAATATGCATGGTACTAAGTTTTGACTCACCTTATTACACAGCTGCTTCATGAGAATAAAATGTATGATGTGCGTGCTATACAGGAAGATTTTGTCAAAGCCGTTGGAACCACAGCTGACTAATCTGGTGAAATCTAAAGTTTGTAAGCAGGTGCAAGATCATTTTTTATCCATTCACAATTTTACATTTTTCAAATGAGGAGTAATACCGTTAGAGATGCAAATCTAGGCATAATTCATAATTTACATTTTCTCCAGCTTAACCTTGCTACTGCTGCAACGCGGCTCCCCGTCGTGACAGTGTTACACTGGGTGTGTGAGTGAAAATGTTAAAAAAAACATATGATTGCCGTGGTGAGAACACGTAAATGTAATGCTCTCATTAACGCCAGACCTCAATGCGACCGGTCATTTTTCCAACAGAAGTGCGAGAAACATTCCAGCCAGCAGCTTCTCGTTGTCCGGCCAATCCAACGTCAACATAGTAATCATTTTTCACTAGCTGATTGCGTCATGCCGATCTCAGGAGCTGTATTTGATGTAGCTTATGAACGGAATATTTTCAAACCAGGACCCTGCGGAACACCTGAAAAACCAGGTGGGACTACGCTGGTTACAGCTGTGTTTATAGTTATTGAAGATGCAAGCAAACATAGATGTGTGAAAGGAGCCACTATGTATAGTATATAACTAGTATACGACGGTGGGCATTACTGAGAGAAAGATATCTCTGTGGTGCGCTAGAGCACGTCATAGCCTTGCTAATGAATGCTGACACGAGGTCTGTTTTGTGCGTGTTCAAATAGATTTGAGCAACATCTAACATCTAATGGCCTCCATCCTGCTTTACCTTTTACCGAGAGAGAAGTAAACTGACAACACAAACAAAGATATGTACTAATTTTATGTCCTGATTTTAACGTTGTAGAGCCAGTTTCTGTTTCACTTGTAGGTTTGCTAATGTCAAGCTGCTGGAACACATGAAAGGTCACAAGCTCACCTCGGGTTCATGACAGTTTTTCCAGCTCTAACTTAATCAGTGTGAGCCGGTGAGCACCTCCCAACTATGCGTCTTGGAGCTATTGATTATCCCGCTCTCTGTCTCCAATTACATACAACCACAAGGATTTCCGTGGACTCCTGCAATACTTGTCGAGCGCTCCATAAGACGCCGTGCCGGGCCAAGGAACAAACCTTGGGAAAGTGTTTGTGGGAGGGTTAATGAATTTAGATCAGTGTTTGCCACAAACACAGCCTTGCCATCCGCCGCAGCAGCCTTGAAGTCGGCCGGCTCGGGGTCAGAGCCGGGTCGTCTCCGAGACAATGCAGCTGATTAGGACGGCAAACAGCAGAGACTGTGGAACAGTGTCTCGCTGCCAAACTCCCTAAAGCCCCAGTCCACAATCACAAAGCCATGCGGCATTGGTAAAGCAGATAAAGACTTGAAGGCATAGACGAACCCTCATGGCATATTTAGCTATTGAATTAGGAGAGATTCAACATTAATGTCGTACTAATGTAGAGCAGGTGACAACTCAAAAACTTTACTTAAAAAACATCGTAAAACCAAAAGGGATGGAAAATCTACTGATGTTCACTCACATGATACGTGGTCGATAAATATAATCTCAAACGAGCAAAAAAGAACAGACCTTTGTTTCAAATTAAAAAGAGCCATTTGCGTTTAACCCCTATCTTGGGTCACCCCCTTCTTCTCAGGGTTTATTGGAGATGCGTCAGGGCAGAACTAAAAGTAAATATGCAATGATAGAATAAGCAGCTAAAATGCGGAACATTCTTTTTTTTTAAAGAAATTAAAATTTACAGCTGGATACTGTGAACTCTGCAGGTGTGCAAGTCATCTGAGGGTTCAAATTCATTGTTCAGATTTCCCACAGCTGAGAGCCCAAATGCAGATATTCAGTGGCCTAGCAGAAAATAAGGACTTTTAAAGTGTATGACTCAATGGTGATGTATCATAACTGTGTACACAACTGTTTTGAGACCCACTGTCCTCTCAGACTTCTCTCAGTATCTCGGAGGGATTTACTTGTCATGCACAGGTCGGCCCCTTTTTGAGAGCAGATTTACTGCACATTTACACTGGGACAAACTCTGTTTCCTGGCGAATAAGCAAGCACTTATTGGAGATGCAGGTTGTAGCAGGCATGGCAATTTGTGCCCATCATGCAATACTAATTTATAATGACACCCCTGGAAACTCCGCTTCTTTCATTTGCTGCGTTAACTTGCCTCCAGACCAGGGTAACATGGCAGTCGGACACGGAGGGGGCTAATTGCGCAGAGGCGGCCGGTAGCAAAATGAGTGTCTGAAATTGGAGGACGCGCTCAGTGTGTGTGAAGAACCATTAGCATATCACTTCCGCTGTCTCTGCGAGGTGATTGGAACATTATTAGCCTGAACACTCTTTGCATCAACGCTGGGCGCTCCCTGCATTTATTATCTTCTGCCTTACATTTTTTCTGTGTCAGTCTGCCTGTCCAGATAAGTCTGTGAAACTCGTCTTCGTATGCTTCACCTGCAAAGATCCCATTGATTAACCTCCAACTTGATTGTGGCCTTCCAAAAAGCAGTGAGTGAAAAACATAGTTAGAATAGTTTTATTCTTAATGCTGCTGCTGCTTTGCGTGAAAATTTGGCAGAAGATGACTACAGGGTGCTGTTAATGAGCAACAACAATCTCAAATACTGCTGTAACCCTCTTTCATGGAGATGTCTGATTTATCATTTCACGTTGGTTTTGCCATTACCCGCTGCTCTATAGTAGACGAGCAGCCGATCCTGAGTGTCTTGATTTCGATGGGATATGTTGAAATTTTACCCTCCATTCTCAAAGTAAATAAACACACAAATCAGAAAAATAACTTTATTAAAAACATTTCTGTCTTGACAATACAATAACGAGATCTTCCCAGTCTTCCTAAAGCTGAATGAGGTGATATACGCAGCGCCCACTAATAAGAAAGGAAGTGGATTTCAAACCTGGTTGTAACGGGTCACCTTCATTTATTTTTTGTCTTTCGTTGTCTTAAGCTCCGCCTCCTTATGTGTCACATCGGGTGACAGACTTGAGGGTTTCAAAACATCAATCTGCCACCAGTGGGGCACGCCATTGGTTCCCAAACTGGGGGGGCAGTGGGCCAGACAGGGGGGCCACGACTTCATCACCAACCCTAACACACAGGGTAAAAAAACAAACATGAAAGGGTAACGTCATGAGGACTTGTCATGCGTCCCTGAGATTATAGAGTCAGAGAGAGGGGGGAGAGTAAGATACAGAGGGATGTCTGGACATACTGTTAATAGGGGTTAACGTTCTTGTTAAATATCTAATAACAAGCCATCTTTGCAACATTCACTTCCACCGAAGACGAGTAAATCTCTTTCATATTCAATGTTTACTCTCCACCAGCACTGACGAGTTACTACATTTTAAGTGCATAATTAATAACTAAGTGTGGAGCTTGTCTTAAACAGCACTATACGGGGGCCAGAAGGATCAGACTCACTACTTGACTTTTAAAATCAGAGGACTAACTTTCCCTACTAGGATGGAGCACTCCCCTTTTTTGGAGACAATACTCGTAGGAGCAGCCATGTTGTCCAAGCCTCCTCTCTGCAGAACAATGAGCCTGTTGTGTTTTCCTCAGTAGTGAGAAGAAGTCCTGGGAGACTGGAGAGGCAGCTGTGGTGGGATCCCGGGACAAGGGCGAGGACGAGGGGAGGAGGAGGTTTTTTTTTGTGTGTGTCTTTTAAAGGAGGGGTGTGAGGTTATGGAGTGTAGAGGGGCCTGTGTCTTGTGGGAACCCCCAAATCACCCCAACCCCCCCAATCTTTTCTGACTCTAGAAAAGGCCAATGCGACAGAACTGCCATTTGCAATGCAGATCATGTCCAGGAGGAAGGGAAAGAAGCCAGGAATCAATGGTCCTGTATCAATCTGCTGACTGCTAATGTCCTCCACATTTTGATTCTTGACCCCCTTCGCCGCCATCCCCCAGACAAACCGCCATTGTCCTCTAGCAGCCCCACCTTTCTCCCACTCCCCACTCTATTGCGTGGCCAAAGAAGGCACATTCGGCAGGGAAAATCCACAGGGATTGCTTTGAAGGGAGACGCAGTAACTGTCATTTAGAAATGTGTTCAGCAGGTTTGGGGCCACGGTATAATAGGCTGAAAAGTGAAAGAAGCGAAAAGGGGGGGATAGCAATGTAGGGGGGACCAGTCAGTGTTTGGCAAACAGCATTTAACCCTTGTGGTCAGTCATAATATCCCAATTTGTGTCACAAAGTTGATTAGAGTGATACGGTAAATCAGCAAAAGAAAGGGAGAGATGTCCTCCAGTAACAAAAGGGAGGACATTCATAATCCCACACCTGAGCTGTGCCGGATTATTTTCACATGAAGCTAGCAATGAATTTACCAGCTTCATTAAATTGTTGGATAAGCACAGCAATTAGAAAATCAGAGCATCCCTATATCTCTTTCATCTCCAACCAGCAATAACGCCACAAATGATGATTTCCTGTTTGATGGAACCTCTTAGAAATATTCATCCGAGTGCTGCTCTCATTATACCCTTGGTATCATATATTTCAATTTGTACAGTTGCTCATTCGGGTGTGATAAGCAAGATACTATCCCTATTTTGATTGCTTCACAGCTTGATGCAGTCTATTTCATCATGTTTGAGATAAATAGAGATATTCAACCCTACTTATTCCCTTGTTC